ACACACACACACACACACACACACACGTTGTGTTTCCATCACTTTTGGGGACATTACATTAATTTAATGGAGACTTAACCTGACTCTACCCATCACAAGTCCCTGCCTGAACTTTACCCTAACCCTGACTCAAGCCTTAGTAGGCGAGACCTCAATGTGAGTGTGTAAACAAATTTGTGTCCCCACAACAATAAGTAATACATGACCACATACACTGACACCCACACAGCAATATTAGTATGGCAGGGATCAGGCCCACACAATGTGCTTATACATGGCCCACATATCGCAATGAATAACGGCCCTTTGGTGGCCCAGACCTGGTTTGCCAGAGGTAATCCACACATGGGCCAGCACAAGGCCAGTTTCAGACACCCTGGTCGTCCTGTGCTGGCCCATGTGTGGATTACCTCTGGCAAACCAGGTCTGGGCCACCAAAGGGCCGTTATTCATTGCGATATGTGGGCCATCTGTAGGTGGTGTGCAGCCACGGGCCAGTTGTAGACACACTGCTGGCCCTGTGCTGGCCCAGAACGGTTTCAGCTCTGGCCCCAGATGTCAGCATAACGTGTACCTTAATCAAGCCATGCAATAACAACAACATGTGCCAGAACATGCAAAACAGTGCAAAAGTAACATGCCAAAACTCTGTTCAGACAGTGAATGGACTGATTTTTATGTAGCGCTTTTCTACTCTCCCAGATTTCGCAAAGTGCCGGCTTGATACCAGATCCTGGCCAGACCTGCTTGCTATGTAGGCACTAACACAGACACAGTTACTTTACCAACTGACCCCTGAGCTCCTAAGTGTCCCTCAAACCTCATTCAGGGATCCACTCCTCTACTTCACTGTCACTCCCTGAAAGCTCACTGTCCTCACTTTCTGAGGACAGAAAGTGCACACTCCCTTGGTTTCCTTGCATAAAAAGTTTTTACATCCATGTCCTGTAATTATGAGTAGATTGTAAAGTAAAAAACATTGACTATGATCATATAAATGCACACAAACACATCTCTACACACATATCCAAATGCATTATATTGTCTGAAAAAAAAAAAATTGGGCTAACTGCGCAGTGTTGCCTTGAGGCAACGAATGAAAATGAACAGTTTTACAGTATAAATAAATGTTAAAAAGTAGAACAAACAATCAAATATGCTTCTTAACATATTCATGCACATACAAGTATTTTTAATATATATTTATTTCACTATAAACATGTAAAATTGTGATCTTTATCTTGCCTCCTAATGGAGATGTCTCTCATGTAGTGCAGCTTGCAGAAAGGAGCCCTTCCCCCCCCTTCCCCAATCAAAGTCACACCACCTTCAACTCCACATTTTATTGGAAAGAGATGTGCCTGGTAGCATTGTTTGGAAGAAAAAAAAAACTTGTTGTTTTTTTTTGAAGGGCCACCGTAAGGCATGAAAATGTGGTTTGTTGTCTCAGGGCAATGCTATGCAGTAGAGGGTTAATGACACACCCTCAAGTACAGATATCCGGAAATTTTACTTTAGTAAAGTAACGAAGTACAAATACTTCGTTACTTCCCACCTCTGGTGTACGCTGACATGCAAAGACAGGAATTCAAACTGCTTTAAATACGACAAACATAAAACACGTGTAAAAAGAAGTCAGGAAATAAAAAGGCGTAAAACACTAACCGAGCTATAGTGTAAAAGAAAAAGATTCAAGAATCATGACCGGTTAAATCACCGTGTTTAACTTTTTTGTGCATTTATAATTTTAAAACCGACGAGGTCTGAAGACGGCCTCGACTATGAAAACAGCACCAGCTGAGCAGTTTCTCGAGTCTGCAGGCTGGAACAGTTTAAAACGGTCATAAACATACAAAACGATGTAAAACTAAACAGGAAGGAGAAAACAACGTTTAGAATGATCATTTAATCCCAGTAAGAAGTCGTGTCACAAAAAGCTTACCTTGCTCCAGGACGCCCAGCAGTGTCACGGCGCCGAGCCCGACCAGCTCCTCCATCATTTACAGAGTCAGACAGGTGAGACCGACACACACCTGGTCTGCGAGGACAGGTGTAATGCCAAGTAGTTCGTCTCGATAGAATTTATCTGCGTCGGGAGCGCGCACTGGGCAGGGAGAGCGGACCCAGTCGACTCCGCCTCCATTCCAACCACACCAGACCTGGAAGTAGCGACGTTTTA